CCCCAAAACCCCAAAACCCCAAAACCCCAAAACCCCAAAACCCCAAAATATTTTTAATAAATTGAATTGTACAAGAAGTAAAATATACAATTTCATCTTGTAAATGGTTATGAACAATGGAGATTACTAAACGGTTTACTGTCTGGATGTGCTATTCAATAGCCTAATATCGCTAAACATCCTTCCGAGCAGCCTTAAGAGACCTGATTCAAAATCCGAATGTAGAGGTAATACCAGCTTCGTACCTAAAGGTTATAAGGAATCTACTCGATATTGTCAAAAACTTTGACTTTCTTTGACTGAAATGGAGTGAGATATCTGGTCTTAAATCTAAAATTTAGGACGTCAGATTACTTTTTCTCTGGCCTGAAGCCTCTTTGGTTACCTCTTAGCCACCCAGATTGCTTCTTTTCTTGCTTTCTGTCTATTTTAGGTTATCATTAGTTATTTGGATAATTTTAATGAAGCTTTAAGTTTTAAAACAGCTTTCTAAAACAGAAAATTAAGTATTTTTGAAAAATTACACTGATTTTGCTATAAAGTTAGTGATGGAAATCCAAATTTGAGCCTGATCTCGCCACAGTGTGAAAACCAGGTGCTTACTTATATCAAAAATATTTCTAGGAGTGACCATCTTGATTTTCCTTTGGGTTCTTGGCTCTGCCTTTTCAACATGCTTAATATTGGTCTTTCCATTTTTGGCTAAGAATTTAGCATCTTGAATATCTTGGTGAGGCTTTATTGCCTATAATTCTAGATTGATGGAAAAGTATCGAAAGTAAATTAACACCAATTTAGCAGAGAATTTTCACTTCTGGTAAAACTTCAAAAGAAGCATATTCCTTTTTAAGGTTAAATATCCTAATTTCTTTATGTAGGAGTGAACTGGAGGAATACTGTGAAATGCTTACAATTGCAGTACTATGGCTATTTTAGAATTTTATTCAGCGGAATAAAAGTCCTAGTCGGCTTCTGGATTACAATAGTAGGAGAAGCCAGTTTGGGGCTACAAGAATTGTAAAAAATCTGAGAAGCCTTCAGGCTTCTCAGATTTCTAGCTTTTTGTGGACTTTTGCTCGACCTGCTAGGGACTCCTCTTGGTAAACTACGATGAACATCGCTTGAAACTTGTGGATTTCGGACTAGAAATGGTTCCTTTGGGAGGTACTTTGCAGTCAAAATCTTTGTCTGTAAAGGAGATGGATCTAAAGTAACAACAACACTTTACCTGTTCTCTTCGGTCTTGTTAGTCTCATATACTTAAATATCTTCTTCCTCATTTTCTCTCTTTTGACAAAGTTCATAGTGTCTCTATTTAGTAGTGTGAATTCAATTTCTTGAAGTCTTGACAATCGGGCTTTGATCTGCGAAAAGGTTATCTGTCAGATCAGGATTAGGCTTGGTTTCTATACACGGATTATTACTCTCATCTTCAGGGTGTAAGTACCTAATTTGACCTTATCAAGTTTCTTGCGTGGCCTGAACTTACCCTTGACTTTCTAATCCCTATTATCTAAACAGCTTACCATAAAATCAAGGATCACTGGGGACTTGGTCTCATCTGTAGAAGTCTTGAACCCTGGTGAGTATGTATGAATAGGGATCTTGATCTTGGAGTCATTCAACTTACGAGTTTCTTCTTGACCTAAATCCAAGACTAAATTATAACTCTAAACGGTCACGACGAGCCTGGATGGAACTCCCAGCTCATCTAGCCCAAAGTGCTATTGACATTACTCTTTTCAAGATCTGAATCCCCAAGGATGTCTGGCAATTTGATATCAATTTGGAGGTACTTGTCTTCCTTATTAGCTATTTCTAGAGTATTAAAGGGCAAACATTACGGATATAGGAGTGCCTGGTGGACTGCTTCATGAGATTTTGAGTTTATTTTATATTTTTTGTTATTTTGTTGGGGTTTTGGGGTTTTGGGGTTTTGGGGTTTTGGGGTTTTGGGGTTTTGGGG